ACGGTTACGGTTTCGGTTTGGGTTTCGGTTTCATTCCTTGGTAAAAATAACCACTCATGCTCATATTTATACCCGTAGCTACGTAGTGTATGTAACGTATACGCCCCGTAGCACCATACGAAGTGTACTAATAAGTTTACTCGCCNTTTGAAAAACGAAACGGTTTTAAACGGTTACGGTTTCGGTTTGGGTTTCGGTTTCATTCCTTGGTAAAAATAACCACTCATGCTCATATTTATACCCGTAGCTACGTAGTGTATGTAACGTATACGCCCCGTAGCACCATACGAAGTGTACTAATAAGTTTACTCGCCCGCCTTAACTTAAAAGCCATATTATTTACAAGTAATTTTTAAGCAAAAAACAAAACCGACTCCACTTCTCATATAAAAATTTAAGATTATCAAAATCAAAGTCATTTGTACTCAATGTAATTTTTTTTGATTTCGTGAGACACTAGTCTTATTACACTAAATTCGTTCGTTTTGGAAAGAAGAATATTTTCATCGTTTAATTTTAATATTTTGAAGTGCATAACTTAAATTATTAAAATTAAAAAAATCGTAAAATTTAAAAAATTACAAAATAGCTGCGCCAGATATTCTGTATGCTGCCATTTTTTAATTTTGTGGTGCACTCTTGAAACTTCACAGATTTGTTGTATTTGATGCCAACGCCCCTTTCCTCAAACATGAACATTCTATTTGAAAACTTACCAGAGTTATTAAAAAAAAAACAGTTATGATTTCTTCGAGTGGCAATGAAAAATGAGTAATTTAGGTACTTGTCTAATAACTCCAGTTGAAGTTTTTTTTCGTTAACAAAAAATTGTAATTTTTATTGAAATTACTAAAAAGTAGAACAAGAACTATAATCTTTATTAAAATAACTAAAAAAAAAGTTTGTCGATATTTTCCAGATTCGGTAGTTTTTATGAAGTGGATGCAACCTAGGTTAGCAGCTAGCAAAACAGAGATTGGTGTTTTTTTGTCGATAATATATTTCGATAAAAGTCGGCAAAAGATAAATTTTATATGTAGTACCTAAATAATGAAAGCTGCAAGAAGGGCGGCTGCTGCTATAGGGCCTAGGGCGGATAAAACTGCAAATCCGCCACTGGGGGTAGAGCACTAAATTTTCAGTTTACATTAGTAGCTAATGATAGTACACAATTTTTCACTACTACTCTTGATGTTTAGTGGTGAATTGCAAATTATCAGCTTCACTATATAATAGTGATAGTGAAATAAAAAATGGTTCCACTAAAATTAACAATCGAATAGTGAAAATGGTATTTCTTCGGCCTAGTGAAACATTTTTTTCTTCACTAAATTTAATAGTAAAAAAATCTGAAACTAACTAATGTTAGTGGAGCACAGGACCTTTCATTAAATTGAGATACTAAGTTAACAGGTTATTGCATATGCACCTCTGACAGAAACTACATAAAGTTTCAAAGCTTTCAAAAAATTTCGGAAAAAAATTCAAACTTTTTTATCAGAATCTTTAGAATATTTTCGGGTATGCAGTTTTGTAGCCCATTCAATTTTAAAGTAGTGCATGATTCAAGTCGCTAAAAATTACCGTTGTTTTTTAGATTTTTTTTGTGGTGGGTGTTGCGCTTTTTCTTCCATATAAAACGCATGATCAAAATCTATTTTTATATGGAAGAAAAAATCACAAAAAAATTCTACAAAATCAACGGTAATTTTTAGCGACTTGATACTTCAGTTAATAGGACAAAAATTGAATGGGCTACAAAACCGCATAACCGAACATTTTATAATGCAGGCTAAAAACTTTGGACAAAATGCTCCCGTTTCCGCGAGGTTTTCTGCAAATTATCTAAAGTGTGAAATTTTGACATAATGTGTTATACTTATTCTGTTCTAAATAACAAATACTTTCATTTATTTTAGAGCGGAGAGCATCACAATGGCGGAAAAGTTCATTGGTCTGCTTACTGAGTGCCTCTCTGAGCAGAATTTTGTGAACGACTATGGTCGGTTATATCCAGTTGAACTAGATGTGGATATACTTAAACAAGCTTGCAAAAATTTGTATGTATAAATAAGAATGCAATTTAAAATATTAGTTAACTATAGTTTGACAAATTTCTTCCGAAGGGATGGCTTTAAAGCTTCGTTCATTGTACAAGGTTATCAGCAGGAGTCAAGACCTTCTGCACAAAAACCAAATTCTAAAATGAATAAAAAAGCACCTAGTTCAACCAAATCCAATAATAAAAATGAGCAGCAAGCAAATCGTGTTTCCAATGCCACAACCACCACCACCGGAACTCCAGAACGTGATATTGACTTAGAGGTCACATCTGTTTTGGATGTGCTACCCCATTTAGGTACCGGTTTTGTGCGTCGCGTACTTTCACGATACGACAATAGCGAAGAGGCGATTGCCGCTATTCTTGAGGCGAACCTGCCACCCGATCTAGTGCACGCCGACCAATCAGAAGTATACATACCGCCAGATCCACAAGATAAAACTTATCAGCAGACGGGGATTAGGCATTTCAACATATATGATGGGGATAAATATGACGTAATGACCCAAGACAATCCGAAATGTATCATAAAGCAGGGAAAAGGTATGCCGAATGCTCCGAAAAATGCTGCCCAGCTATTAGATGACAAAAGCGATTTGGCGCAATATAGATCCCGTTACGAGGCATATTCACTAGTCAGTGAAGGTGAAAGCAGTAATGACGAATACGACGACGAATATGATGACAGCTATGAAGCGTTGTTGGAAAGTGAGACGCGAACTGTTAGGTCGAAACAGCTTAAAGCTGGACTCGCTAACGTAGAAGATGTGTCAAATGATGAAAGTGAAGATGAAGAAGAAACTATAGAAGATAAAGTCCAGACCGATGTACAATCGGAACGTAAAAAGCAATTGAACTTCTGTGAAAATCCAGAGGATGTGCGTGCTCGTTACGAGGCACGTCGGCAAGCTAAATGGAATAACCGTAATAGTGGCGGTGCGGATAATCACAAGACCCGAGAACTCATTGGCGCGCCAAAAGGGCAAGGTCAAGATAAAGAAACTTTACGAAATCGTGATAAAAAAGAGAAGAATAAATCAATGCGAGCAAATCATAATCGGAAAGCGGGTGCATCATTTAAGAGGAGCAAAGGAATGATGGGTTAACACTTCCACAGGTTGGTGTTTTCCGCTTTATATACTATTAATTGACATTGATGATGTTGGAGTAAGTTTTTGAATAATAAAATATAAACTATTGCAAAAATTGCAATTAATTTAAGAATAATGGGGCGTATTCAGGTTTTCGTACGAATCGAAATTTTGAAATTTTTGTACAGAAAATGATAGGAAAATTTTATGATTTTCGATTCGTAAGAAAACAAGAATACGCCCTAATATCATTTATTCATCATGGAAAGTAAAATGTAGAAACTTTGTTTAGAAGAAGCAGTTTTTAGAAACCGTTAATTCAGGGATCGTAACGGGTAAATTTTTTGTATAACCTCGTTGTTTTGTTGTTCTTGTAATAGCATACGAATTCCCCAAAGACCATTTCAGTTGTCAGCTGGAATGACGTTCCTTGGCCAAATACTATACATGCGGTGGCCATTCGTACCGAATTTGGCGGCACAGTACCGATTTTGAGAAAATTGTTCCGCTGAATATTTTTTAAAAGTCCGGACGTATAAGTGTCCCGCTTTTTCATATTTCATATAAACCCAATTTTTCGTACAAACGTTATCACAAAGAACATCCTTATTTTCTATGATCTTTCTTTATGTTTTATTTTGTCAAACTGATACTCTCGCTATATGTATTGCAGACATTATTTTTTTTTAAATTTGTTATTGAGGTTTTTATAATTATTTGTTAAATATTTTTTTTTTAATAAAACGATTCTAACTTGAATACAGTGGAGAAAATATATCGTCGTTTAAAGTACAAAACCGCGTATCGTCGTTCTACAAAACCGCGTAACTGAATATTTTTGCCAAAAATTGGATTTGCTCACACAAGCTCTTGCCTTAAGCCTTATCCATTCGTACTGAAATATACTAGCCAGAAATGCGATTGCTTTATAAAAAAGATAACCATTTTGAAATATGAGTCTTTTTTACTCTATACAAAATAATGTATGCAACCTCACATACGCGGGTTTGCATTATTTGATACGCTGTTTTACATTTTGTTGATACGCGGTTTTGTACTTTAAACGACGATATCTAAATAGGGAGAGACCTTGCAGCATTCTTTGGTATTCCCCTGTCGATTAAATATTTAATGTGTATTATTTTTTTATGAAAAATTCACAGGAATGGACAAAGTTTCATCAAAATGTTGAGTTTTTTAATTCGATTTTTTAGAATAATTCTGAGTATGCAGTTTTGTAGCCCATTCAAAGAATCGTTGACATATCTGAAAACCATTTGTCGTCGACGAAATCAAATTTTGAAACACTTTAAAAAAATATTCCTTTCAAGTTATGGCGAACATGCGCGGTTTTTGTAAGCTTAATATCTATACTCTGTTGTAGCCACACAAAAGGGGTGACCTATAATTTGACACCGCCACGAATAGCATGGGACTTTCTTATAGGAGTTTTTCCTGTCATGTATATATGTATGTACATACAACTTATGTAGGTATCAGGGACGTGAACCGGTTTTGAACCGAACCGGTTTTGAACCGGAAAACAGCTTTTTTCTGTTAATTAACTGAACCATTAACCGAACCGAAATTTTCCACAAATGTTTGATCCGAACTGAAAACCGAACCACTTTCCATAAAGGTTCGTTTCAACCAATTTTCAATAGATAAATGTACCCACTATTTTTTCTTTTTGTTAAACATGGTAATACCTACCATGTTTTTTTACCATGTGAGAATATTAATGGGTTGCCTACCCATCTCATTTGACAGACCGCTTAACCTTGCGCGTTGTTGCACTTGACACTTGACACTTAAACTTGCGCGTTATTTTTTTTTGTTTTTTCGAACCGTTGAACCGAACCGAAACCCCGGTTCAAAGACCAAAAAAACCGCTTTGACGAACCAATCCAAAAGTGCAAAAACGGTTCGAACCGCTGAACCGAACCGACCAAATTTTTCATCCGGTTCACGTCCCTGGTAGGTATACACTTGGAGGTTTGTCACTGTCCGACCCGGTGTGACCGTCATTATAAAAAGCTTCTTCTATCATTTGGATGCTCGAATCTTTCGGCGATCAGTGCGCTCCTCTAACCTCTAGAAGTGAAGAAAAAGTTCGAATACGTTGCAAAACATATAATTATATTAAAAATGCATAGACATAAATTTCGGCCTTTGCACAAATTTTGCAAGATTTTCATATATTTTCACTCAATTATAATCCATTAAATGAAGCTTTTAATATCAGCGGGTTTTGGATAGCAGCTGTTTTTCAGTATCCTTCATAGCCATATTAAAATTTTTCACCCATCGGTTTTATGGTGATGTTGTGAACCTTGTAAAATATAAATAGGAAAAAGTATAAAGTACGAAGCATTTAAATCATTAGGTATAGTGCATATCGACACCTACAAGTTTTGACTATCTACACTGAGGGAAAAAATTTCAAAATCAAGTAAATAAAATATTAAATTCAAGTACGCACATATTAAAATAAAGCAAAACGTCATGCGTAAAGTGCAGATGGCGTTTTGCACTTCGAACAAAAAAAAAAAAAAAATTATATTTCGAACCCTGACCCTCTGGAAATCAACAAATTGTGGCAAGCATCTTTGCGCACTCTCAGCTACAGACAGACATGTAAATGTGCTTTCAAATGTTGAATTTGAATCAACACCACAGCACGTGATTAGGGCATTTGCACAGATAAACCATGTACTACATATGTATGTATGTATGTACATATGGATGTGTTGTCAGCGCTCTGTATGCTTGGTATACATACCCTGAGGGAAATGCATGTATCTAACTATAAGTAAAATCGAAGTTGATTAGGCAGCAACTAGAGGTCACTATTATCTGTATATTTTCTTTGAGGAAACTTAACTATATTTCAATGGCGATGACTGCGAAATAGTCTAGGGTGGTTACCTCTGCATTAGATGTCAACTAAATTGTAACTAACTACTTTTGGACATTAAATATCAATAAGAAAAATAAAATATTTTTGGTTTTTTTTTTACTTTTTCATTTATTTACTTAATTTTATTATCCCTGCAGTGAAAAATTATCAATTGTAGAAAATAACCGACTTATAGTTGGCTGGCTTTTTGGCCAGATTTCGATAAATGCCTCACTTTTAATTAGCTATGACAAAACCAACTTAAAGTGATTTGTAAAGTCGTCCAGGAATCATGTAGACACAATCCGGAGTTGGTTTTCTTTACAAATTTCCAGTTAAAAATCCTCATACAAAAACTATTTTGAATACATTTTTTTTCTGCACTTCACAAACTTTTTCTAATTCAGGACCAATGAAATGAATATCGAAATTTTTAATTATCAATTTGCGTAAACAGACTAAGGTTAGATATAAGCTAACGTCACTCCCTGCAGGGATATTACATATTTGTATATTTATTCTGCTTTAGGTGGTCCCATATTCGAACTTCAAAATGATAACATAAAATTTCGACCTTCTTTTTATTTGTTCTCAATCCGAAAAAGTATTTGTGAAGTGCAGAAAGAAAGTGCATTTAAAGTAAAATTTGTATGAGGATATCTTGTTTGAAAAACAATCTCCCGACTACGTCTGTATTACTTGTCAACTAGTTTCAAGTTATCTTTTTGAAGAAATAACTAAAAGTGCGTTATTTTTTATCAATTGATAATTTTTTTCTGCAGGGTATGTACACTTACATATGCATACATACTCGATGTGGACATTCAAATACGTGCGTGCTTAATTTTGGTATGAAAGTATTATTTTTAAATACGAACATTTTTAAACGATAATCAAATATAAAGTTTTCATTTTTACTATGCATTATTTCCCTCAGTGTATTTTTTTTATTTCATTTTGCGGATCCTGGTAGAAGACGCATCCAGTAAAAATGTTTCTTCGGGAAGATTTTTGTTCAAGGCAATGAGCCCCAAGAAAGGGGCGTGGCAGTTATAGGACTAAAGATAATAAAACACAGATCGTTAACAACATTGATTCCGTAACTTTTTTTTAATCGAAGATATTTAAGACCAAAGGTAACTCGCTTTGATTTTTATTCATTTCTTCGACGCTAATGTCCTGATTTTTTTTTTTAAATTTGTACTGATTTGTATTGAATTTTCAATTATGAGAATACAAATTATACAAAATAAATAAATAAACCCTTACTAGCCAGGCTCTGTATAAAAAACTTTGAAACTTGGTTTTATATGTGTTTTTGTTTATAAGAAGAGCCACAATAAAAAAATAACTAAAATCAAAAAACAAATAGTCAAAACGTGTAAATATTAAGGTGTCGTATAGTTTTGATAAGCACTATATATGTATGTATATACCTGAACATTGGATGGGGTGCTTATAGCCCATAAAACAGCATCAGCTACATCTTCCGATTTAAGGCTAGGCAGCATCTCTTTAACTACACTACGAATAGGCGATGGCAGAATATCTGTATCCACTATGCCCGGACTGATTGTCTGAAATAAAAAAAAACCTAAAATTTTTGAAGTTTCCCAAGGGCTTACGGCGGACCTTCATAGCATGCGTATCCGCATGCGTGAGTTTTACATTTACATCCATAAAACTCTCTTACGCTTTTACGTTTCTTTTACATGCGTTGCTAT